GCGGGCCTGCAGGGGCAGGGCAGCGTGGCCCAGGGCGGGCAGCTGCTCCCCCCGCAGGAGGGATCCTGCTGCACCGGCCCTTCCTGCCGGGAGGGGATGGCCGAGCCACGCCCAGGCCCCTGCAGCACTGGCACCGGGTCGCCAGCTCTCGCCCCAGCGGGAGGCCCTGCTGCTGCCCACTTGCCTGCTGAGTGCTTGGGGCACCTGGCCCCCGTCTCCCTGGGGAGCAGAAGGGCAGGAGAGCCGCACTGGCAGGAAATAAAGGCTGAGAACGGAACGACTGGCAGCGTTGTGGTGTGTGGGGGAAATGCCCAAGCCCCCAGCACTGGAGATGCCTACAGGGCACCCTGTCTGGCCAAGGGAAGGCTGTGGGGGGCACAAAAGCAGGGCTGGAGAAGTGTCTGGGGCAAGGCTTGGGTGGGAGGAGCAAAGCCCCACAGGTCCCAGGATTGCAGCCTCCTGTGGAGCCGTCCTTGGCCAGCAGGGAGGGAGAACACTGCCCCCCCCCCCCCCGTGACGCATGGCTGTGGAGGAAGGGCCCAGCGGGGGGGTGGGGAACCTGGCAGCCAACCAGGCTGGGTGCCAGCTGGCACCAGGTTTGTTCTTGCTTCTCTCCTGCCCATGGGCATAGCCAGCCCTGCCCCCCAGCCCTGGTCTAGGTGCCAACTGGCCCTGACTACATGGGCCAAGCAGGGCTGGTAGGTGCCTGAGAAAACAGCCCGAGTGGGGGGGGAGGGCAGAGCAGGGCCTGCGGGAGTAGCCCAGGCCTGGCTGAGCCAGCGGTGCTGCCTCCTTTGCCAGGTGCCACTTGCTGCCTGGGTCTGGGCCAGCCAGGTGGCTGCCACCATCCATTTACGCCAGGCCTGGGGCGCAGGTTAAACGGTGCCTGAGGGCCTGCTGCCAATCAGCCTCCTGTTTAGCCCTCCTTGCTCCTGCCTCCTTCCTCCCCCCTTAGCCAGTTGCCTCCAGCTGGCTGGGCCCCAGCTCTGCCCCTCGCCCTTGGGGGTGAGCACTGCCCCAGTCTCCCTGGGGGAGCTGAGCTGCTACCACCTCCTTGCCCAGAGCATGAGTTTTTCTCCAGCCGAGAGACGTGGGGCTCTTAGCCCTGGCCAGGTGGGTGGTTGCTTGGGAGGGATCCAGGGCTGGGTTCTTTGTGAGGACTGGCCCTGGGCTGGGGGCAGGGGTTACTGGGGCTCCCCTAGGGGTATGCTGCTGGCAGGCTGGGCCCTTTCCACTCAGTAGGGCTGCATTGGGCTTGTGAGCCGCTCACTGTGCAGCAGGGCACGGAGGGTGTCTCCGGGTTGCTCCCGGGATGGGGGCATGTTCTAAGGCCTGCCCCTGCAGCTGTGCCCAGCAGCTCCAAGCCTGCAGCAAAGCCTGCTGGGGGAAGGAGGTGCCTGCAAGTGCAACCCCCAGCCCAGAGGAGGGGGCAGGATTGTATTGCTCAGTGCACCCCAGCCAGGGCAGCTTTCTAGCAGGGCCAAGTCTCCCCAGCCCTGGCTCCAAGCAGAATCCTGCCCCAGAGCCCCATGGCAGCCTTGCTCACTGGGAAGGGCCACCCCAGCAGGGCTCCTGGTCGTGCATCCCGGGCATGAGCCCCTGACCCTGTACCCACTGCCTGGAGGAAAACAGCCCATGTGGGGCCTGCTGCCCCCACAGGATCCCTGGGACCCAGCCCTGCAGCATGCAACCCTCCCACAGCCCCCAGCTGGTCTGGCCCTAGTGCCTCAGCCCAGTCACGCTGCATGAACCCCACCCCCAGGCCAGCGTTCAGCCCCTGCACTGGGGCTGCTGCTGAACTTCACCCACCTCCACACTGGGCTCCTCCCGGGCCCTTCCTTGCCCTAGCAGAGCAGCAGGATCAGCTCTCCTTGTACCACCCACCCCCCAGGCCGTGGTCCTGAGCCGGAGGGAAGCACCATACCCTGGGAGGCCATGCCCGTTCTCTCCCCCAGCACTTGGCCCCCCTTGGACATTTCCCCCCAACCCCCATTACCCTGCAGGGGGCAGAACTCTCAGCTCAGGCAAGGGGTGGGTGTGGCCATGCTGGTCCAGAGGGAGCTGCTAGCGCACAGCTGGGCCAGGACTGGGCCTGAGCACAGGACCTCAGGGAAATCACTGCTGCAGCCCAAAGCCACAACTGGCCACCTCCAGCCCCCTGCCCTCAGGCACCGGCCTGCTGGGGAGGATGCAGCTGCCGCCTCTTTGAGCTGTTAACCAAGGGGCAGGGTACAAGGCCAGGCCCAGCTGGAAGGGCCTTGCACACAGCCCCTGCCTGATTCAAACAGCCCCCTCCCCTTCCAGCCAGGGCCCGGACCGGAGTGGCCATGAGGGAAGAGGCCCTCGGCCAGAGCGCACAGCCAGGCTCACCCCCCTTGGCCAGGCCAGTGTCCCCCCTGCTGGCCCCACACACGGGAGAAGCAGTTTTGTTAATAAAAACATTTATTTTGCATTTTGTACAGAGCCCCCCCGGCTGCCAGGGGACGCGGGCGGAGCCGGCCCAGCATGCCGGGGTGGGGCTGGGACAGGGGAGCACACACAAACACACAGAGAAAGAACCGGGCGGGGGAGGAGTGTGTCGCGCCCCTCCCAACGAGAGGCAGGAGGCAAGTTCACTTCTGCACTGGGGCTGCTCCAAGGTGCTAGCAGCCCTGCACCGCGGCCACTGACCCGCTCCGGCCCCCAGCCCT